CAGAAGGTTTTTGTTTTGTTTTGTTTTTTCTTTTTTTGTTTTCTTCATTTTTTTCTATACTGGAGATTGAACCCAGGGTCCTGCAGCATATGCAAAGCAAGAATTCTACCACTGAGCTATATCCTCAGTCCTTTTCTTTCCTTATTTGGGATTAATAATTATGCTATTCTATAGAATATTTTAGAGAAACTATCAAAATACTGAAAAGATTGGAGAAAAGGCAATCAGTAAGACATATGTTAAGTAGTGTGGTTTCTTTTGAAGAGATTATCAGTGTGTACAGAGTCATAAGAACTAAAGTAAATGTCATTTAAAACATTCACAACTATGTTTAATTTCCAAAATAACATTAATTTAACTGCTCATATGGTATGTAAATTCAGATTAAAAACAATGGAAATCAATTTATTAAAACATCTATTGCCCTTGCTGAATTAAAATCATCTTCAGAAGTTTCTTTGTTATTACAGAGTGGCCTCTGCCTTACTGGGGTCTGTTTTTAATGGATTTGTTTTCTTTTTTGTTTTAGGTAGTCTTTTTTTAATTATTATTTTTATTTTGGGGGCCATGCATAGTACTGAACATAAAACAATGAGTGAGTATGTCTAATCTCCAGGTAAATTCCTTGGTTTTATTCCTCTACATAGTTTGTATACAATAAAGAAAGTTTTAAAACTTGAATTAAAATAATAGAGATAAATAAAACTTGAATTAAAAAATGTTTTACTTTACCTCTGGCATGCCTTGAGCTGAGAAAGCATTATAGGGAGGTACAATATTTGTCACATTCTCATATCCATCTGGAGGTGGTTCAAGATATGATGTTTTGAATACCTAGCAAGAAGTAAAGCATGTCAAGCTAGAAGAATAATTCCAGGTTATTATTAAGGTATAATTAATTTTTTCCAAGTATAGACTTAATAAGCATCCTAGATTCCATAATTAAGTAGGTAAATTCTACTGACAATAAGAAATAGCTCTATTTTTTTTCAAAATAATAGAAACTTTTAAAAATGCATGTAGTCTCAGACAATTAAAAGCTACCATACAGTGTAAAATGACATCAAAGTTGGACAGGGTGTCATGTGCCTGTAATCCTAGCATTCAAAAGGATGCTACAGGAGGACCACTTGAGTCCAGAAATTTGAGACCAAACTGGACAACATAGCAAGACTTCATCTCAACAAAACCGAAAAGAGCAGGACTTCAAAGGCAGGACTCTTGGTTGGGGATGTGGTTCAGCAGTAGAGTGCTCATCTATCACATGTGAGCCCCTGGTTTCCATCCCAAGCATGAAAAAAAAATTGCTAACAAAGGTAGCACACTTGTGATTTTCATTTCATGACTTTTCCTTTCAGCCTCCTTTGTGGTCCCTTTTTCTTTCATTTTTATTTGAATTTTACACATATTTTATCCCTAGCCCACCATTTGCCTTATTTTATATTCTCTCTCTCTGTGAGAGTTCATTGACTAACAAAATTTTGCCAACAGCTGTTGTGCTTATGTTGTCCAGACTCATATATTAAGAGCCCAAATAGTCACTTAGCTTTAATGTCTAAACGCAACAAGTTAAAATATGAATTTATGTTCTCCCACCTGTAGCCGGTTCTTGGCTCTGCATCCTCTACTTCCATTAATAGCCTCACTAAGTTAGTCACCCACATCCTACAGTCTAGCAGTTATCCTGAACACTCTTCACTTCTTTCCTCCAAGACACTAAACAAGTCCTATATACTTCCTGTTTCTCAAAATTATCATTCTTCCTCACCTGCTAACATGCTAATTCAGGATTTCATCATCTTTCATCTGAACTACTGTCTTTACATTTTAACTCTAACTCCCTGCCTAGTCTAGGTGTAATCTGTAGACTCCCCCATCTATGTAAAACAGATAGAATTTTGTGGTCACATCCTTCCCATGCTTAGAACTTGCTTTTGTTCATGAGGATCCCTCAAGACTATCTTCTCTGTGAAGCTTGCCCCATTTATATCATTAAATGAAAGCTGCAAATACAGATGCTTAATAACTTAAATATTTCACTGGTCTACCTCTTACATTAGTCAGTTTGTATTTTACAGTCTTGGAATACACAAAAATCTTAAATTCTACCAATAATACTAAGATAGTATGTTTTCAAGTCTTTGCAATATTTTCTTTCAGCTAGAATTTTCTTACCTTACTGCCAAAGCCAATGTCTCGGCTTGGCACCAGAATCACGAGGCACTCACAGCTTTGTAGGTTCAAACAGCAATTCTTTATTCCCGCTCTCACACCGCCTCCACACAGGTCCAGGGGCAAACGTGTTCTGCCGTCTCCCGCACAAAACCTACTCCACGAGGCTATCTCCAAATCCCATTTTAATCTCACGAGAACTCAACGGGAACAAGCAGCAGGAACACCCTAATCCCAGCAATAATCTTCAACTTCCAACTTCCCTAAAACCCATTATCTTAAACTGGCAACGCCTTAAACTCAAGGAGCTGGTTACTTCCTCAAACCTGATCAGCTCTAAACCTGGATCCGCCTTGGTCCTTGAGCAAGGTCACCTTATTAAAGCATGCATGCAATATCCCATCGAATGTCCTCTAAGCAGCATGGGGTACGCTTGGCAAGGAAATTTCGATGCGTCATTCCTACTTGGTAATGGCCCTCAGCATCTCCCCCCTTCTGATTAATTAAACAACAAGCAATGTGGCTTAGGACCGTGCCTGGTAGGTTGTCCAATTCAACATGTGGTTCTTACCCGTCATGGGAGAACTGACCTTTACACGTCAATTTCCTGTCTTAGGTTGAATCCACTGCAATCAGATCAACCCGTCGCTGACTACCGGTCCAGCATTCAGCCATGCTTGTGGATAGGCCTAAGCACCAGTGGGGGGGTGAGGTTCTTGCCTCACCTCTGTTGGCCCCCAAATTTAACCTTGGTGCCAGTGGGGGGGTGAGGTTCTTGCCTCACCTCTGTTGGCCCCCAAATTTTAGACCATCACCAGTAGAAGGGAGGAAGATACAGAAATGCCACGACACCAAGCCAATTGACGGCTCCTTTGGAAAAATTGCGTCATCTCTTGTGCTCTTTCATGACTTATATGTCAACTTATATAGGAAGACTTCTCTACTCCCAGTGTGGGGGCCAGGTCTTGGGTGTGGGGGTGGGGTGAATGACCCATTTCTGTATAGATAAAGACCCTTTATCATACCATTCATGTCACTTACTATACTGATTTGAAACCCTGTATCCTATTGTCTGCCTCACCTTATTTAAGCAAAGGACCCATGTCCTAATCTTCATTCTGGCCTGAAGATCTAGCTTAGCATCATGCCTAACACATACCAGACACTGACAAGTTTACAACTTATTAACTTTTCTATATAATGTGAGTTCTACACACTATTAACAAATTTATATTTTTACTGGACCTTATATTCTAATCCATACAGAGTGTGGCATAATTATATGAAAAGAACCAACAATTCTCTATCACCTCAGTTCCATGTCCATCCACAATTGATATGCAGTTAGCATGTGTCTCATTAGGGTAAGAGAGGAGAACATCATAATGAGCCAAGTTGGCTGAATCTAGTCCAAATTTCTTCCATTGGGCTTGAATTTTTTTGGCAAGTAGTAAATTTTCTTCTGTTCCTGCCAGATGAGGAAGTTTTGTGAAAAAACTAAAATGAGAAAAAAGAAACCAATGAACAAACAAAAAACAAGTGTGAGTTAAAAAGTACATTCAGCTTGTGTGCCTAAGAAATCTTCTACATGCATTACACATCTTTTACATATTAAGTTATGAATTATATGTCAAAAATACTAAATGGCACAGCTAGAAATGATAATTTATAGATAAGCCAAATTTTAAATTATGTACAACTACAATTTTCATAATATTCTCCCTCAGAAAAGAATGCATTCCTAGGTAAAGACAATCAGAACAGATATGAGAAGACACCCTAAAAGAAAGTTATACTGCTATACTAATGGTGCTCCTCCTTGCTGGTGGCTACTTGTTCAGTAGATAGAGGACATTTGGGAAGAAATAATCTCAGTGTTTTCCAGGGACCAATCAGGACTTGTACACTTGACTTAACTATTTCTACTATTGATTATGTCAATATAGTTGCTTGTTTATCTCACTAAGGTTAAGGTCTGTATATTTTGATATTTAAAATTCCCAGGGCTTAGCACTTGTCAGGTATCATGGAAATAATGACTAATCGAACTGAGTTTAGGCAATGCCACCTTGGTTCTGGGTGTAAATGAGTTATATAGCAATTAAATGAACTCACAAATATACTTCTCACTGAGACACATTTTGCTTTAGGTGAATAATGTTTTAAAGTTTCTCAACAATCCCACTCCCCACCTGTGTCAGATGAACAATAATATAAACTTTTATAAATTATTTTTTAAGTTAAGCATAGGACAACCAAAAAATATATGGCAATAAAGGTCAATTAATATTTATTGGAAACTTTCGACATGCTAAGGACCCCACTGGCACTTTCACGTGTGTTATCTCATTCAATCCTTACAACCTTCTACCTTTGTCCCCATTTTACACAAAAGAAACTGAAAAAAAATGGTTGAATAGCTTCTTTATAATTGCATAGCTAATAAGTGCTGGAGAAAGAAGCTGAAATTATACTTGTCTGAGTTTGAGAAATGGTGATATTTCACTATATATCACCTAATCTTATTACCCAACTGCTTACATCCTTGTATAGCTCCCTACATTCTGCATTATCAAATTCACACTGCAATGTGGCATAGGAAGCCCATTGGTGTCTGTCCCATATTTTCAACTTCATTTCCTCCCACTCTCTTTATTAACTGCTCTGGTCTATGTCACTGAGCATACTTCTTTTCTCCCTGAAATGATTATGCTTTCTCTCTCATACCCTTTAGTCTTCACACAAGGTCTTCTCTCAGACATGAATATTGTCTCATCTACTGAATCTCTCTCCATCACCTTTCCCACCTGCAAACTGTTAATGGTTCATGAGGATCCCTCAAGACTATCTTCTCTGTGAAGCCCTCTCTATATCATTAAATGAAAGCTGCAAATACAGATGCTTAATAACTTAAATATTTGTTTAAAAAGTATAAATGTGTTTAGAAAGAAGTAATTTTTATACATAGGGAAACAATGAGTCTGAGATATTTAATATTTACTTTACATAATATATTTTCATTTTCTTTTCTCTAATGAGCAGATACTATCTTACAATTAGGGAAAAAAATAAATGTATTTTCTTAAATTAAGATGTTGGATTAACCATAAGCTTTTGCCTTTCATCTTTTAGAGAACCCACTGAAATGAAATACAGAAATGAAAAAAAAATAAGAAAGAGCAGCTGGAAATAACATCATTTACTTTTGAATTTCTCCCTGTGATATAAGGTGGCCATCACATATTAACTTGGCAATGTTTAGGACAAAAAGCTTCTTTTCAAAACTATCATTGCCAGAAAGAAAGAATTAGAATGACTGGCTTATGAACTAATCAGGAGATCCCTGGGCTGAAAGGAAGGTAATCATTACTGAACACATGCCCTCCTGGAAGAAGACAAACACAGTTGACATTCTGCCAACAAGAAAGTGATAGGGGAAAATCAAATTGTTCCCACAACTAATTCTTTTAACACAGTCTTGAATCTGTCCTTTCCCTGCTAAACTATTTTTCTGCATGTATATACATTCCTTAAACTTATGATCAACAATTCCTCAATATCCTCTGCTCCTTCATGGAAAGTTTGCATTAACTACTGGCCTTAACAGGTATCTTCTGAGGACTTTGCTTATCTGCAAACTATTTAATTTCCATGCCCCTACCTATCTTGGAGCAAGAAGGATAACTAAGAGCCCTTCTTATTTTTCATTTTTTTTTCTCATTCTTTTCCTTCCTTTCAAATAGCTCTTTTGGTGCTTATAACCAAATGGGTGCTCTCATTTGCAAAACTGTGGGCTATTCCTTTTCCTTCATTAAAGTCATGGACTCCTGGACTGGGGATGTAGGTCAGTGGTGGAGTGCTTGCCTAGCAACACAAGGTGCTGGGTTACATCCTCAGTACTGCAAAAAAGTGAAAAATATTTTTTTTTTAAATTGTGGACTCCTAATGCACTGTATTTCCCTCTTTTCCTATTCCTATCATCCTTCTTAGTATACATTTCTGTATTCAGTCATACACAAAGGAAAGAAAAGCCATCATCATGAAAATCATTAATACATCATTTATCACCATATGTGTGGTAATATATCCAAGGTAGTATACAGCAATATAATATGGTATATTAACATAATATATTAAAAATACTTTATAGATTACAGCAAAGTAATAGTAATAAAAATTTCAAGGTAAGAGCCAGCACCAAGGTTTACTCCTGATAACTCATGTAATTTTCTAGGTGCTTTCTTTTGGACACTTCATGATATGCGGCAGAGGTCAATAATGTTAACATCTTACCTGATTTTTTAAGTTATACAAATTTAAACATATTGTCTCATTTCTTAACAAAGTCTGCATTTTATAGCATTTTACCAAATGAGCAATATAGACTACAAGTGATAGTCATCCCATTGCCCACTCATTCTTTTTCTGTGTCTCCAAAAAAGCATGTCAGAACAAATATATTGAATTAGCTTCCTGATATCTGATGTACCTTGGTCATAAATTAGCTCAAATTTCCCAAGAACAGTTTAGCTGTTTTTATTCCTCATTATATCCATGGGAATTAATATGGAATGGTGTGATCTCATTAAACCATAGCATGGACAAGGAGGAAATGTATCATGGAGTATGCACTTCACTCTGCATATTGATCTCTAGGGTTCAATTGAACTCTCAGAAGAAGAGAAATGAAGAATATAGGGGAAAATGTCTTAAGAAATAATGAACAAAATTTTCCTAAGAAGGAAAGAAAAGTCTTTTCAAGAAATTTTGCAGGAATAATTTATTTGTATTTAAGATTATCATCAATCCTTAGATAGCACCATATCAAAAATTAAGTCGATTTGGAACATTGACCTTAAATGTGCAAACTACCATTCTAAAACTTCTAGAAGAAAATACTTAAGACAATAGTCTCATAGACAAACTTAGATAAGACAGAAGAAGTAGGAAGCATCAAACAAACACAAATTGATTAAATGAACTTCATTGAGATTAGAAATTTCTGATCTTCAAAAACTCCACTATGAAAACAAAAGGCCAGCTGCAGTAGAAAATATTTGTAATACATATGATTAATAAGGGACTTAACCCCAGAATATGTATTGGAAAATATATGGACAGAAACTTTATAAAAGAAGATATACTAATGTCTAATAAAAACATGAGAAGATGTTTAATATGATGAGTCACGAAGAAATGCAAATTAAAATTATGATAATATAGCACTATTCAACAATTAAATTGGTTAAAATCTGAACAACTGAAAATACTAAGCATTGCCCTGGATGTGGAGCTACTAGAATACTTACACTGATGGGTAGAAATATAAACTGTATGACCACTTTTGAAATCTCGTTAGCCTTTTCTTAAAAACTCTAAAGGGCTGGAGGTAAAGCTCAGTGTAATAGCACTTGCCTAGCATGTGCAAGACCCTAGGTTTGATCCCCAGCAAAACACACACACACACACACACACACACACACACAC